ACGAGAATGAAAGGTCTTTAGCATTTTGTGCAGTTGTGCTGCATTTTCCTAAACTCCCCCTCCCTCCCCTCTGGGCCGGAGGCAATCCGGAAAAGTAGGTGAAATGCGGTGCAGATTCTTGCAATTCCTCATTGTTATTTATCGAATTTATCCTCTTCATTTGATCGGTGCATGTGAGATATGTGGAGGAGGGTGAGTTTTGGAGTTTGGGGAGGAATTTCTGTAGGTCATTGTGTGATGGATCCATCCAGGGTGGGTTCACGCATTGAAATTTTCCTCCCTTTTAGCTGGCATTTTCGCACTCAGTGAGTGGCTGGGGGAAAACCAATAGTTCTTGACATCTTAATACACATGACACAGTATCTAAAATGCGAGACGACTGGAAGAAAAGCTCCTTTCTCTCCCCCTTTTCTTTTGTGCGCCAGTACAACATACAATAGGCATGGAATGATTGTTCCAATATGCCGGCGACAGAATCGCGTGTTGATTGTGGTTGCGAAGCGAAAGAGAGAGCGAGAGAGAGAGAGAGCTTACAATTGTTGATGGTGAAAATGGTTTTTGGGTGAATTGCCAACCAGTGCGCGAGAGGGAAAAGGTGAAAGAGTTTTCACGAGAAGAATACAATCGCAACCCACTCACTCCTTTTTTTCCAAAGTAGAGGGTCTCTACCTCTCTCTCGACACCCTTCTAATGTGTTGTGCTCAAAGTAAAGTTTCCCCCTCTATTGTGTATGCTGTATTGTGAAGTAATACAGAGAAAATACCAAGTTTTCCCTGCTTGTCTCTTTTATTTCGCCAAATTCTTCCGAATTCGGTGGCAAGCAAAGGGGAGAGAATATGATAAAGCTACTAAAATATTATGTATTCCAACTAAATGCCACATTATCACTTTTCAAATTACTTATAGTGGATATTTTCTTGCGAATGTTTGCAATACACTTTGATGGTGTCCAGTCTCTGTCTTATGGAAGAAGCTCCAGGTCGGTTGATACATTTAGTGAGGGTGGTTTGAGGGCTTTAAAAATACAAAGACACTCGTTCTTTTCACACTTTTTGAAATATCTGTATGTGAAATGCGGGGACGAGACGAGGGGTGTCGTCGCGTGGGAGGGAGTTCGAAGAAAGGTGGGCCTTTGAGTTTGGTGCTTTTCTCTCCATTGTCTAGTTTCTTCTATTCAAAAAGCAGGCACCATTGTTGCGTTTTCAAAGAGCGCAGGGCCTTAGAAGGCGAGTGTGGAAATGGGAGGACTTGAAGACTCACTCCAGCCCCTTTTTTTACTACCACCTCTAGGCTGCTACTCTGGGGTAAATGGTGAAATTCTTCTAAGAATCATTCCACCGCGGACAATCACCACATTGTTGTAGTGAAAAGTTTGCGTGATGTCTCTCATTGATGTGTCAATCTCGAGGAAATCACCGGTAATGCCTGGCACAGGAAGGGAGGAAGATGTGCTACACTTCTTCTTTTTTCCTCCTCCCTGGCCTAGAGAATACAGAAGCATTGAGCTCCTTTCGAAGGATGAGAACACATGTTGATTCATCGACTGCGCGCAGTGTATCCAAAGTGTGTGCGGTTCATTTGGAGGTATTTTTCTGTGGTTGTCCACTTCCAATTCGCCGAGTGGATCTTCTTCTCTCTCCCTCTCTGGTGAAGTCACAGTGTGGAGCTTTTCGCCCCTCAGCCATCGTGGGCTCTTCGTGTGGTTGCAGGGTGGAAAGAGCGCGTGAGAGAGAGAGTGATTGTTTCCACTAAAAGTGAACGCTGGGTGTGAACTAAGGGGGTTGGCTCGTGAATACACAATTGCACAAAAGGAATGAAACAATAGACAGAACAATTGTCAGACAATAATGCAATGTGGCTCTTTTATTCGTTTCTGTGAGATGTTCCATTTCACCCCGCGTGGAATTCATCCAACGACCATAAGTATGTAAGTTCCCTTGTCTCATTGTCTTCTCCTATATATCTCTCTTCACTTCCCGCGCCATTTCGCCCTCTCGGCTGATGCTTTTTTGTTTGTTATTCGAACGCCTGGACGAAAAGTGTGAAGGACCATGTTTTGAAGCTCGCAATTTCATCTGGCTAAGCAATCTTCACTATAGTATTTGGGATACAGTTTGGAATTTTCTATGAACCAGTGTTGGCAATTACTGATGCATATTGTTGTATGTTTATTCATAAACAATTGTCGCAGGATGTATGAAAGGATATGTGGTAATAAGAGAATTTTCCTCTTCCGCCTGCACTAAAGTTTCCCTCCTTTTCTCCTGCTCTTCGGCACAAAACTCTTATGGGAAATACAGTAAGTTTTGAATGGTGTGCAGTGGAGAATTCTGCGTTGAATAAAATTGGTTGTTGGGAAGAAGCATGTTCAATTATGACAACACAATCAAAGGATAATTGCAAAAGGGGTGTGAAAATTCATCGATGTGATGTGTTTAGAAATATCCTGTTAATTGCTATTCATATCAAACTAAGTTCCCCATTGGAAAATATCCCTTTCAATTTCGTAGAGTGAGTATTTGCAATGTGCGATGAGGATGAGAGAAAAGGGAATTACAAGGATGCACAGCACATAAATACTAAACTTATGGGAGGGAAATTCTCATATTGTTGATGGGTTTTGATGTATGGAGATGCTGAACACTGATTTGTGTGCAACATTCATGGAGAGTTGGGCTTTTGTTGTGCATTCGGATACTCACTACTTTTGGTACAATTTTGACTTATGTTAGTGGGGGGTGTGAATCTGTGAATAAGTGGCGGGAAAATGCATGAGAGAAGGCCGCTGCTTGTGCAACATAGTCAACATAGTGTTGGAGTTATTTGAAATATTGGTTTCCATTCATGAATTTCTCTACACTTTATTATTATTTCCAATCGCTCAACATGCTAATGCAGATTTTCTTCTTTGAAAATGTTTTTGCTGACACTCGACAACACTTGAAAGGATAAATTTTGTACAAAAGCCAACATTCTGGATGACTCTTTGAGAGGGTGAATTTTGCAGAATCATTGAACCAACAATATAATTTCTATGAGTATGCGGAGTTCCTATGGTGAAATGTACTGCGGATTTGCATTTATCAATTGTTTGTGCTTAACAACGTGAGATAATTTATTAAATTTAATTAAAATTAATTTGATCGACATTATCTTCATTGTTCTATTAAATTATAAAACACGAGGATAATAGAGTGAATATAGTTAATTATTAATTATTGCGCTATGCGATTTACTAAACAATAATAGGTGCACAAGGGTGGGTGAGCAGTGCTTTTTTGGGTGGTTTCGGATGGATAATTTCGCGTGTGATGAATATTGTTGTACTGCGGTTGAAGTGGGGGTGGTGGGCAACACAGAGAGACATGCATTTGTATGAATAGATTGTGAACAATGGGCGATTGAGTCGAATTGACCAGAAATATCACCAATTACACTACATTGATTAACAATTGTACAGTCTATTTATGTGCACAAAAGCTCCCCGTGTGGATAAAAGTCAAAGAAGCGAAGATATTATTATAATATAATTAAGGAATGATTCGATTTTATTGATTTCTACATCTAATTTCTCTCTGCAGTCAAAACATTGAAACACTGATTGTCCTTGTTTTTGAAACAGTGCCTGTAAAAGTGATAAAATTGTACAATATTTATGTTTATCACTATTATCGCCACTTTGACTGTGAATAAATATTTCTCTTTATATCTCACGTGTTGGTAATTTTAGCAATGAAAATAGTTGATTATTATTATTATACGCAGTGATTTATGTGCGCTTGTTTTTGTTGTCACACTAAATTTATATATTTTAAGTGCATGTTTATGGGAATACCGAACAATACGATACTTGTTCGACAATTCACCATTTCTCCCCAGCAAGGGATGATTTTTTTCCCCATATATATTCTATTTTGTGCATGCAGTGAAAGAATTGCTGATGAATTGGCCCTTCTCGTGACTACTTTCTTTTGTATTGAAGAACAATTATTAGCACTATGATTTATGCACGAATAAATATTTTTTGCATCATCCATTGTGACATGCTGGGCAATTTCACTCTCCAGATCAACTTCATGGGGCTTCACTCTTCCCGTGAGTTGTTGGCCAGTAGTTAATTGTCCTTCAGTGCTTGTCACTCAGCATCCCTCTATAAATATTCACCAGAGATGTTGACGCGCGCGCGTGTGTGTGTGTGGCCTATTATTTTGCTCATATATTTCATACACAGAAAAAAGAGTATTTTTATCTATGCACTTCCATCCCTTTCGCCCCACATTTCGGCCGCGTCGTCCTCACGCCATCGCGCCCACCCCCCCGAAAAGCACCCCTTTCTCTGGGGCGCTCCGTTGTATGTGGTGAGAGCTTTTGTTGCTGCTTGAACGTGTATCACACAAAGGTTTTTAATATCTGTCCAAAGAGACAAAAGAAGTCAAATAATGGAATCACTAAACAATGTAAAACAAAAGCTATTCGCTTTACAGTTTCAATATTATGAATGTGTGTGAACTCGCTGTGCTGAAAGATGAGGGAAAGGGGTTGAATATTGCGACTATATGGATTGAATACATTTTGGGGGAGGGTGGCAAATGAAGGAATGATGAGGGATGAAGTTCCCATTTAGTAATAATGCACATTAAACAATACATCCAGAGATTCTCTCTCTCTCTCTCGCGCGCGAGTGTTGGCTCTTGTGCTGGATATCATATATGTACATACATGTAATGAAGAGGAAATTTCTGAAAACTACCCAATCAGCCCTCGGCACTTCTCCGCCCCGCAGAAGTGAGTGATTTCTTGCGGTTTAAATACACCCAGCGCCACAATGGAAAGTCGGAGAATAGGATGTACCGGAAAATCTCACTTCTCACCGAGAGAAAATTCACATGGATAGGCACAAATTGTTTGTAATTGGACCAAAATGCTTCACACGTTTTCACTCTCTCTCTCTCTTCTCTCTTGCGCGCGCTCTTGGCGAACAATAAAGAAGAGTTTGTGGAATTTTTCAAAAATATTTATTACATTACAGTAATTTATCACATTGGAAAAAACAGTCTCAAATTTATATACTTAAAATACATAGATTTCATATTTCATTCAAGACGATTAAATAGTTCCATCATACTGCTGCTATTGAGATAGTTGAATCAATAATTATTTCATAGTTTATGCTTTTCTTTTCGATTGTTGAAATTATCTGCTTTAGTAGAGCTTCATTTTCTTAGTCATATCATCTATTGGTTCTTTTCTTTAATCCTCCCTTTAATGCATATATAAATCTGCTTAAATATTTTGCCAGAAGAAAAAAAAATGTGACTATTCATGATTAACTATAGAGAAAATCTACTTATGCATGTATTTTCTCTCTATAAAATTTTGCTTTTTCGACAATTTCTTTCCAATTGTTCCTGCGCGATGCTTCAATAAAGAACTCGCGCACTCAATAATTCTCACTTTTACAAATTAAGGCACACGTTTGTACTATTTTATGCAACATACAATGAATAGAAAAAAGAAATCTTTCAATTTTACTTGACATATTCATCAAAAATCCCAATTATTAACTATTTTTTTTCACGTATAAATACACGACAGAAATCTCATATTTTTTTTGTTGTATCTGGAAAACATCAAAGGAATCACTAATGTTTCTTTTTTCTCTGCAAATGTTACTTATACACAATTTTTTTTGGACGATTTCAAAGAGTTTTTTTCTTCTCTTGCAACTTTCATCTTCATAATAAATCTTCATTAAAATTCTAGAATCATCTTTTCTTCCTCTCTTGTTCCGTCTATACGGAGAGAAGAAAGAAAAACTATGAACTATGGTTATTATGTTTCTGGCATTGGAACATTAACAAGACAAAAAAAAGTGGAAGAAATTCGTGTAAAACAGCTTAGATTATAACTTCGAGGTTTTGTGTGTTTGTGGGTGAAGTTAGTAAAAAAAAAGACGGAAATGAGTGACCTATTGCTAGATTTATCTTTGCTTCGTGTTTTTCCACTTTCCTCATTTTCCCTCCCTCGTTATTTTCCTCTAATTGTAGGGCCTTGGTTTGGGTCTGTTTTTCTCCACTTAGCTGGAGTGGTTCTTCTCCACAAGAAATATATATTACCAACTACATTCACTTATTCTACACTCTTCACTTAAACTATGATATTACATTACACAAATATTGTTGTTTTTCCCTTCAGATATTAAATAGTCGATACATCGTCAGTGTTTAAAGCGCTATTAATATCAATTGATATTCACCTTCTCTTGTGATCATTGCTTTTTCTCTATTCACACACATGATTTCCGTGAAACTCCTTCACTTCTATTATGAATAGATTTTATGCAATCTCTTAAGGTTAACACATCATTGATAAACACACTCGTTTAAATGACTAACAAATATAAGAAAACATTGGCAATTAAAAGTAATTTCTTATCCTTCACTATTGTGATTAAATTAAGCTCTTCAATGCGTTGGTGGTTTTTTTCTCTCTCTTTCTTTCTAAACATTTTGAAAAACAACAGCATAAGCAAACATTGCCATGTGTAATGCTCAACAGAAAAATATTTTTTTTTCACATAGAATTTCTCCATTTTCACCATCATAATCATAAGAATATTCATGTCATTTGGTTAACCCATTTGTTTTAGCTTTCTCTTCGAATTCTTAATGCACACAGAAAGTGATAAAAATATTCAATTTATCAACAAAATAGACTCTTTTGATCCAAATATCTCTCATCAATCTCTGATTATGCATAGTTTTGACGGAAGCATTAGTTTCAAAAAATCTTTCACATGGTTTTTTTTTCCCTTTTTAGACTCTCTTTTCCGCTCTTTCCCTATTTTTTCATTAATTTTACTTTAAAACTGTATGGTTCTTATCTTAAAAGATAAATTTTCACTCATTGCTATCGTACTATTTTGTAAAATGTTATATCATAATTAAACTATAAGCACAAATTTCACAACAAGTTTGGATTATCTTTAAATCTTATATCTTCCGCTTTTTCTCTCTCTCTCTCTCTCTTTAGAATAACTGTATATTATCATATAGTAAAATTGCCACGTTTTGTCTCCTTACACGTCTAATAATATAATCATCTTCACAATAGTCAAATTGATATTTCTGCTTCTCTTACAACTTTTCCCCACATCAAAATACTTTCCGATAGAATTTCAGAGATAATTTCTCACTTTATCAATCGTTCAATTTCTTCTCTTCTCTCTGTGTCTTGTGTAGGCATGCGAATGAACATTTTCTTCTTTTTGTATATATACATAATTGACTAAACATTATAACTACAAATAAAAGATGGGAATTATGTTTGTTTTAACGTCTACAAATAAAAATATAAATCAATGAATAAAAACAATTGTAAGCGTGATTGTATTTCGAGTATCCATGAAGTAGGTCTTCTTTTTTAAAAGTATTCTCTCTAAATCCCTTTTGCATATTTCATCAAATCCCTTCTAACCGTCTTACGCTCGAATGGTTAGACAAAAACAATAATAATAAGGTGAAATTTTTGGTGTAAAAGTGGTTTTTATAGTTTATTTGAGTTGTAGTTTAAGAGCTTATGACCATGATTGTTCTTTTTCTCAATACCTGAACTTTATAATTCTTGCATTTTTTCTCTCTCTGTACAATTACAATAATTAAAATAACATCTGCTCTTGTGTCTTGTTGATTTTGCAATTTTTCACTTTTTTCCTTAAAACTACTATCATTTATTTAATGTCTGTGTGAAACCTTTAATCAGAACAATGTCTCACTAAAATATTTGTTTCTCTTTTTCTGCTCACTTTCTGATTGTAATATCAACACAATTATTTAGAAGGTGTCCACAAACAAAATGACAATATTCTCTCTCTTAATTTACTATTACAATTGGGGATGCAATGTTTGTATTTTTTTTTACTTCTCCAACCGTAACAGCCCAAAATTATAATAATAATAATGTGCAATTGACGCAAGAGACGCAACTGAGCATCTGAGGTTAGATTAAAAATACAATAAATATTATCTAATAGGAACACAGTATAAGCACAACGGAGGTGGTGAAGGCAATCAATCGATAATAATAATTAAATAATAGTTAAATTACTTTAATCTTTTGCAACGTAACAAAAATATTACCCGAGTAACAGGTGGCACTCTGTGTGTGCGTTTGGAGATGCTTTCAAGTGCGTGTTTATTTTTGTGTGGGGTTTCTCTTCTATCAAGCTTCTTCCTCCATCCCTCCCCCTAATCAAATGGGGGGTTGGGACGAGGGGAAGTGAGAAAGTACAATTTGAACAGCGCACAATTGGCTAAATATATAAATCTATAAGGATTTTGTCACAACTTGTCTTCCTGCCCACACAAAAGTTTGAGTAAAAAAAAACAGAATAATGAATGAGAGGAAGAACGAAATGGAGGGGGGAGAAAAGGACTTTCTTGAGACATATCAAATTCGTTCTGCGCTTCAACGCACAAAAGCCTCCCTGTCAAATCACGCGTCTTTCCCATCCACGGCTAATCAGTCAATTCTGCTCATCTCCCTTCGCTGTGTGTCTTAATATTAAAGGGGTTAACAGACCTTCTCTCGTCCTGCTTCCTGTCGCTCAGATGATTGCCTGGCAGTTGTAGCCGTAGTTCTTGATGCTGTTGTTGGCACTCTGGGCATACATTGGCCGATACGAGTAGCCATTGCGAATGATGGCGTTGTGTCCGTTCGACATTGCACTGCCGTTGTTGTTGTTATTGTTGTTGTTGCTGGCGTAGTAAATGCGTGAATCGTTGTTGTTGACATTAATGGTATTATTGGGTGTGTTACTGCCCGTTATCTTAGCTTGGGCGGCAATTATGGCGCGACAGATTGAATTTGGTCCAGGAGTTGGCACGAGTTCTGGTTGATCAGGTATCATGAGGCCGCAGCAACTGCAGCGTATTAATGTGTACTCTTGAATCCACCCATGAGCGCCCAAACGGTGGTACTGAGAGCGATTCATGAGGAACATCGAAAAGTTATTTTCAGGCAACTCGGTGTAACGAATCTTAAATGATCCATTCGTCAAATTTGAGCCCATGTCAATTATATTGCGTCCTCCGTACATTATTTTGCAGTCTTGGTACGTATGTTTCTCTGGAGATTTCTGCTTACACAATAATAGAAATATTGTTAATGCTGCGCAATTTGACAATTGCACCCAAATAAACTCACCTTGATTTCATCAGATCCCATTGAACTCACTCCACTCGATTCACTCGATATGGGCGAAATGAGCAGCTTCATCTGGTCTCGATCTCTGCAATCCATTCCCCCCATGTTGGCCGCCACCGGCGACATGGTGGAGGAGAGAATGTCCAGCTGATCCATGAACTCGTCCACGGACAGAGGCAGTGCGATATTGAGAGCCATGATGATCTGGAAGAGCAAACATGCGATCGACACACTGTTTAACATAGGCACACAATCTAGGTCTTATCGCTGTGTTGGGAAACTGTGTGTAATTTCACAATTGATCAAAAAACGAACATTTTCTGATGACACACCAAAATTTTATGGTCAAAACTTATCCATACATGGCCGCGATAAGCGCCTCAAGAACACCGTTTTGCCGCCTATCAGTCGCTATTTTCCCAACACACTGGCGGTGATAAATTTATGATATGTTTTGCTTATTAGCACGGCGTACAGTGAGAGTTGTTCATTGCGGATTTTCGGGGAAATTTCCAACTCTAGAGAGGTACAAAATGTGTGTGGCTTAGAGTGTAGGTCAATAGCCTTTGCGCGCAATCATGAGGATGAGAAAAGAGGTTTACATCATTCTTTTCTACTCCTTTTCTTGGCCTTCTGACCAAGAAACTTGCCAAGAAGGTGAGATAATTAAATGCATTGATGAATCTTCTATTCCCTCTTGATCATTCACTTGTTGTACATCTCTCTTCAACTGTTGCGCTTCCTCTCGTGCCCACCTCCAATCGCAATGTCTCTCTCCCACTTTCGTGATCACCATCGAGCGTAAAATGTAATAATCGTAAAAATGAGGAATAACTGTGCATGTCGCGCGCGTTCAATACACCAAACTCGCTGTATATATTCTCTCTCTCTCTCCGTTCGCTTCGCACCGCAATACAGTGCATCTTCCTGTGAAATAATCACTATTATATTATATGAAGGTGTTGGACTTGGACTTGAAAATGATTGTTATGTGGAAATTGTGTGTAGAAACGAATGGGAATATTATATGTTATGAATTTTGAGTGAGACGCGCGTGGTTTGTGTTTCTCTCCCCTCCCCAGCAAACTTGAGAGTCACCTTAATCTTATTAATTTCATGTGTGTTTTTATCATCTGATGGCTTTTTCGTGCTCCGTTTTTTCCGAGATAATCAAGTGGGATTTCATATTTTGTCGGCTTATCAGGTGGTTGACGGGAAATTATTTGTTTGCGCCTGTGTGTTTGTGTGTGGCGAGCAATGAAAATGTTCATTTTTTTCCACGCCAAAGAGGAATAATTATGATATTCAATAAAGTATGAATTTTTTAGATAATAAATCGGCCCTCGTGCACGATTTGAAGTTAAGTAATTCTTCTTCATTCACATATCGCCTCTTCGCTGCATATGTATAGCCGGGTAGAGCGTAAGGTGGAGAGAAGATGATTGCATGAATCGCAAAATCCACCGTCGCATGAGGATTATTGTGTGAAGAGGGCAACACAAAATGGCGCGTTGCGTGATTGCTAGAATGATCTCATTTCGATCGATTGCATATTTTGTGTGTTTGGAGAGCGCACGTTGGGGGGAAGGAGGAAGAAAGGTGAAGAGCATCTTCACCTGAGTCCCTCTCTCTCACTCTCTCTCCCTCTTCGCAAACATATTACGGTCACTTATTCACTTACTCTCCAGCCCATTCCTTGATCACACACGATCGCGATGATGTGTGCTAATATGAGGAGAGGCGCGGTGTGTTGAATGCGAGAGAGATAGGTGAAAATTTACGCACTCTGACTACGTGATTTCTGGGCATTTCGACCGCGAAAAATGCGTCCAATTGTGGCCTCACAGTTACTCATTTTCCCCGCGCACACTTCGGTGAGGAAATTGCGGCAAAAATCCTCCCATGGCGGCTGGGCTGACGAGGAATAAATCTGGTGGCGTCGTTCTGCACGTGCAAACTCAAGGGATTTCTTCACACTCACCCGTGATTATTTCCCCAATATTCCCCTCAATCACGACACAGGGTGAATTGCGTGTGTTTTTTCCTCCTTCACGAATCACGAGAGCGCTTCCACACCACACAATTCTCGCTCTCTCACCGCGCTTCTAATTAAAATCACAGTGATCCATTGGAGTGGCAGAAAATCTCTTTCTCCTCATCTCTGCCTCTTTTTTTTTCCTCTGCTGCACAGGTGATAGAAATGCTTGGGAAAATAGTGTGTAGAATTACCTGGGCAGGAGTAGAGTGTGAGCGTTCACTGATCAGACACTTGCAAGAGATATTCCGACCTTAATACCCCATTAATTTCACTTGTATTTTACGGGAGAGATGAATTTTCCTTGCCAAGACTTGGTGAAATTATTGGGGACTAAAAGCGCACAGCAAATAGCAGCTGTCACTGAGTCGATGCTTCGCGGCTACTGTCCGCAGAGGGCGTCTTGTGTCCTGCAGCGACCTCTGCAATGTTGAGCTTTTAGTACAGAAAGAGCTTTCGGGGCGAGAAATTGAACCATTTGGTGCGCAACGTGCGCATTTGCCAGCAAAGACACTCGGAATTGGCAGAGCTTTCGATTACTCGATGAATCTCATCGTTTAGCAGAGACACGTGTGTCCTAACAGTTATAACACGTTATATAACAAGTGTTTTTGGATGATGGTAAAGCAGAGAGCTTTAAATTACATATAATGCCAAACTTGCTTAACACATTTTCCGAACAAAATATCCTCCTATTTTATGAATGTTAAATATTTCTTTCTCACTTTGGATTTTTTTGATTGGCATTAATGGAAACTCAGCTTTAATACTGGAAAATGTGAGTTTTTTTTTGTTTCTGTGCTTGAGCAGCACAAGAACCCCAACAATTTAAGGGAGGAGAAGTCTGTCAATCCTGGCAGAAGAGGAAGTTGATGGCAAAAAGTAATCAAATGAAAGTATTCCTCTGATTGGGTAACTTTTTCCAATGTGTTGAATGGGAAGTTTCTTATGTACACATGAAAGTTTCTTTTCTGCTGGTGTTGGCTGTGCTTTAAAAATTTAATTAAGATTTTCCTCTGGGTATATCCTTTTTCCCTTCTGCTTTGGGATAAATTTAGTCTAACGATAAAAGATTTGTGAGTGTATTTCTTACATACATACTTTTTTCCTCTCTCTCTCGCTCTCCTTCTATGCACGACGATTCTATAAGAGTTAATTAATTTTCCACGCACATTAATTCCACACAATTAATTTGGGAAAGGCGAGATTGTGTTGCTTGCGCCGAGGGAGGGAAAGTGTGGAAAGGAGAGAATCTTTGCGTGCTTGAGACTAATTTATAATATTTCATAATCATATTTTTACGTGTCGGAATCAATTTCTCATGTTATCAACGAGATGTGAGAGAAATTGGACGGATTGTCCCTATTGCGAGAGCACAGAGAGATCGAATTCCGGCGATTTTGATTCTGAAAACGCGAGAGAACTTTGCGAGGGTGGAGAGAAGGGAAATTAGGCATACGGAAAGGATTTAATAGTGAGTGAGAAGGAGTGATTTTGTTGTAATGTTCTCTCGCTCGTCTTCTCCTTGCCTGGACATTTGGCAAATGTTTGATTTCCCACGCGCCACCACACACAAATCCTCGTCAATTTCTATCATTTTATCGCAGATTTAATCGAATTAGGGGCGGAAATTCTGCCACAACCACATGCTTTAGAGGATTTTTCTTCCGCTTTCCCATCTCATTGCACACCCTCTGGATGTCTTGTGGGACAAATCCACGCACGAGGCAATCGGAATAATTCATCATTGGGTGAAATGTACTTTTAATTTAATCAATTGTGCCATTAGAGTGAGAGTATTAGTGCTCATTTCACCCTAATCCGCTCATTAGTTGACAGGGAAGATCTTGTGCTATTATGGGTGATTGATATAGCCTGCGCCGCAACTTCAAAGAGATTTTATTAGTTTATGGCGTTTGTAGCGTACGATGAAAAATATGTATAGTTTTCACGTCTTTCCTCAATGCTAAAGAGGTCAGAATCCAAATTCTGTCACACAAGTCTCGAGTGGAAATTGGACGGATTTCCATCTCCATCTCCCTCTCTGTCTCCCTCTCTCTCGCTTGATGGGGCGACGCAGCTTCCAGTGTTGGACTTTCGTGAAAGCTTGCGCGTTCAGCCACGAGCATGCGTGCCGCTGGGGCCTATCACGACAGGGCAATGGCAGAACGTCGACGAACGAAGTGAGGCACGACACCATCCGGCTTCTGGAGCCACTTTCTCTCCTTTGCCGGACACTTTTGGGGGACACGTCCAAGTGGAACATCCCGGAATTTTGGGAAAAGGACTGCGCGTTTCCAACTCCATCGCGAAGGACGCGAAGAGCGCAGGGGAAGAGCTATGTTGGAATTTAATTTTCAATCCATGCACTTAAAGTTGCTGCAGTGACAGAGCTTTGCGCTGGAGGGAAATCCTCTGAGGGCTTTCATGGGCGATGAAACAGAAAGACTTGAGAAATCTCGAGTTTTCTTTATTTTTTTCTTACACTCTTGTGAATGGAAATGTCTCTTGTATTTGTAGTCAAGAATGTTGGGCGTAAACAGGAGAATTATAATTTTATGCAAGAGTGCGAAAAGTGGGAATTTTTCTTTCTAAACTCCAAAATAGACGTTTATTTTCGGTTCGCACATTTCACAGGGATTTGAAAAACGGTGGATTTCTAGCGTGAGAGACCTTCTTGGGATGTTTAGTGTGGGTGTTTTGGCGCTTGTTGTTTTTCTTGGGTGAATTTTTTTTTGCCCAATTCCGCCCCCAGATTCTCCTCAAGCACTCTCTATTTCTCTCTCTGCTCGATGTCGGCGATATATTGAGAAAGTGCGAGGCGAGATTTGAAGTTGATTGATCGATATTCGGATGGCGTAAAATTAATGTGTAACGATGTTAATGGCACACCAAGAATTTATCCGTCATGAATTTGTAATTTTGCGCGCCAGCAGTGCCGGGGGTGGCAAAGGCAAATGCGCGACGAGGAATGTGTTTGAATTACGACAGATATTCTCCACTCTAATTTTGCATCATTTATTTATTTATTTATACATGCTGGGAGGCGCATAAATGTAATTGTTGGCTGAATGCTGCTGCAAATGAGGAGAGAGAGCGCGCGCTGGTGACCCAACAATGACGATCATTGACAATAAATTACCCTCATAAATGCACACATATATATATATGTATGGAGGATTTTGTGTATCTATTATGGAATACACATTTTTGGACCATCATCGTCATTACCTGCAATCGCTGGGTATCTTCCTCTCACCCTCGCCCATTCACTGCCACTCGTGATTGTGCTGCATTGAGGAAAAATCTATTCATTGAGGAGTCACAATGTTCATTTTGCCGCTCGCCGAGAGTCAAAAAGTCCCAAATAGGAGACGATATGGAGGATGGCTGCGAAGAGGGACAAACGGTAATTGCATTGGTACATTTGAAGTGTCAGAGAAATGGATGGAAAGAATTTATGCCTGGCAATTCCTTTGTTGGGACGCGCCAGAGAGGTTACAAAAGGTGTTTCTCCTCGTGAAAGACATCCCTTATTCTGGTCAAAGGAGATCTGTCCTCAATTTCTCACTCGCATCGCATTTGCAACAGAATTAAATGTCTTCAGGAGCACAGAGAGAGAGAGAGAGGGAGAGAATGTCCTAATCTCCGCACACTTTCCTCGAAGGGAAATTAATTTTTCTCATGTGTCCTCTTGTCTCTCTGGGCTCTTCGTCATTTATCAAATTCATAGCAACTGAAAGTGAATATACTTTGGCTCTCTGAGGAGGATTCATTGAAAGTCAGAAAGTGCGCAAAATGGTGGGTGAAATAATGTGCGGCGTGGAAAAAAAAGTCGCTCTCAAAATAGCTGGGCAGAGAGCAAAAACATGTTGAGGAAAAGGAATATGTATAGTGAAAGAAAATATGTTGGTCATATAATGAATTGGCTTTTCCACCCTCACGCCCACAAAAGCAGCCAACCGCCGAGTCGCAGAGATTGAAGGAGAATGCCAGGACGAAGTCGGGGTGCGGGATATACAAGAAGATTAATTTGCACGGGGAAAATCGAAAAGAAAGTTTCCACCTTTAATTTATTTGAAAGTTTTCCGCACTGGCCGTCCAACTTTCATCGACAAAAGTGCAACAGTGCACGGGACGGCGGGGTGGGGGGCGCTTTTGGGTGGGCGGAGGGACTCGTGCTGGGTTGGAAACAAAGGCGCTTTTCACTGTTATCAGCATTTCGCTTTTCCACCATCGTGCGCTCGGAAGTTTCGCAAGCAGAGGAATTTATTTTTATTTAAACTATTTATGCTCTTTCCATGCCCGCACCTTGTAATTTATTATTGCTCAGATAGTCCACGGGGAAAGAGCGCTTCTCGGCGATGGTGTGCGAGGAATACATTGAATTTGGCAGAAGAATTGGGAAATTCCAACTGGACTGAAATGCGAAGCGGAGGCGTTTTTAATCAAGATTACCAAATTTTGGGCATCTTGATGGGATGACACAGGAAAATTTGTCACAAAAGTCCACCAACTGTTGCCGAAGGTGTCGAAGAGGCAGAAAATGAGGAGTTTGGAAGAGTGAATAATTGCATCTTGCCTTTTCGCAGTCTGCAATGAAGATGAAACGCAACAGTCAGCAGGACTCCTTATCAGATGGGAAGTTTCTTCACTCCAGAGGCTTGCATAAGTTCGAAAATGTGTCTTGTACAAATTGCAATGGCCCAGCTAGGACATTGTTTACCTGGGCAAATTGTGTCGTCTTCTGCTTCTCAATAAACTACCCTTGATTGACTTCACAGTTGTGTCGATATTTTGAGAATAATTACTAATGTTGTTCTATGACAAATTGAATTTGTCAGAGAAAAGCTCATTAAAATGGCAAAAGGGTTATTGTCATCTCTGCCTTCGAGATGCCAATAATAAAGGTACAAATACGGTTGTTCCATTTTAAATACCACAAACTTGTCTGCAATTCATCGGTGATGCTATTTAATTGCGAGCTCGTGTGGATTTATGCTTGTGAAATTATTTGCGTGAGTGGAAAATGAAATTTGTCCAAGACAAACACTTGTGATGAAACTATAGCAATTTAATGTGTCGCATGTGGCAAAAGGTGTGGGCTCACGGTGGAGTACAAACAACAGGGATTTCTTATTGGGTACATAAATTCTATTTATTCACCCTTATTACACTTTCAACCCTGCAGCCATATCCGCTATTTGCGAATTTTAACTCAATTCTCCATGGTGTTTCCTGTGCGCCGCAAAAGGGGGTGGATATGGGCTCTGGGAGTGTTGTGTGCCGGGAAACCCTGTGCGATCGAGAGGTGGGGGTGGTTGAAATGGAAATTTTCACGAGTATGCGTGAATACATGTGTGAAGATGATGGAAAGCCGTACAAGTGAGGCATACAACTATGAGAGGGTGAATTTGCCATGCCCACAGTGCGAGGGGGTGGAAAAGAGAGGGGCGGCATAGTGTCGAAAAGCCGAGAATGTTAGTTTAAGCATAAGTTAATACATGTTGGGTGGATTTTCAAGGGGCGGAAGCAAGGTGGCTTAATAGTATTTTTGGGAAATGTGCTGCTGAAGGGCCAATTAAATTGGGTAAATATTAATTTGCGGAAGAAGTCAACAACGCCCGTACTTCAATGCAATGCTGTGGATGGGAAATTAAATAATAAAATGTTATTTTTTGCGTGCGAAGAAAGAGAAAGATTCTAATTAAATTCTTGGGATGGAGAAATTTTCTGTCCCATATTTTCTTTGGGGAAACCTTTTGAATGCTCGAACGTAATCTAGTTTTTTCCATTTAATACCTTGATGAGATGATTATTGGTTGGCAATTTGATCTTATCATCGGGAGTGAAGTCTTAGAGTTTGATCGGGTAATTAATTTGCCACGCGATGGTGACAATTTCTTTGATGCCACGGTGAGAGATTAATCCATCGGGAAGCTGCGTTCTGGCTTTCCAGCATATGCGTGGCTATGTGTGCTGATGTTTAGGAACACTGCATCCCTCCTGGTTTGGATCCCCCTTTGCGTGGCGGTGCACAAAGAAGGGGAGCCTTTTAGTCATTGGGATGTAGCCAACCTTGAGCTAATACAGAGTGAAATTCACTTCGTGAGTGTTCTTTGATGTGCCAGAGACAAAGAGTGTGAGAGAGGAAGAAGATTCTAGACAGCAATTTTAACACTTGCACCCGCCACATTTAGCTCGCATCTCTCGGGATCTGTCTTCCATTTAGGGCGAGTGGGTGTGGGCGCCATTGAGTGCACCATAGAGAGTTAACAGATGATTTTTTTACGCGCCAGTTAATTTACAACATACGTAGTAACACGTTTGAAGTGTCTCTTGTGTTCTGTGCACAAAAAAGGAATCTCTGATGGGAATTTGTGCCACAAATACTCCACCTTTTGTTCCTATTTTTCCCATTTGAACTCTTTTTTCGCGAATTTCCCACCCATGATGGGCGTGAATTGCAGAAAAAAAACATTACACAGTCTCTAGTTGGGGCTCAAAGAGAGGCATTTTGTTTGTTCTGTACGCCACTTGGACAGAGGATTTTCATGACAGCCTATGTTTTGCTCAGCATTGCTACTAATTTGCAATATGGAATGGCATAAAAAGGGGCACTTTTCACTTGGGAAGATGTGACAAGAAGCGATGGCTCTTCAGAGGTGTTAGTGCGTGAATTTTCTCTTCAGTTTGTTAGCAAATTAACGAATAGAGTGCATGCGCTTCTCTCTAATTGGTATTTCATGGTGTGTATGCAAACTCTTTCAATGGAATTCTATGGAATTTTCTTACGTTAGCTTCTGCAGGAGCATGTTTATCCTTCTGCGTAAGGTCCACCAGTGTTTACACTATTGATTTGTCCACATCCATGCTTGCACAGTCGTGAAGAGGTGCAAGGAAGGATAAGAAGTCACTCCTCTATTGTCCACTGTGTGCGGTATTGTAAGGAAAATATTTAGCAGAGTGACATTTTAATTAAATATTTATGCAAGAGATGTGGCACGAGACCAGTAAATCCACTTTATGTCACCTTATAAGATTGGACAATGCGATAAGGGAGCATAAGAAGGGAGGATCCTAAAGAAATATTTTTATTGATGGAACACCTTTTTGTACGTGTGAGATTTCTGATGAAGGATATTTTTTCCACTCTCTCTCTCTCTCTCTGGCTTTCTGAAGAAGAAAAAAATATGTCCAAACTGCAAATTTATCATCGGTATTTTTTGTGTGTCGCACGGAAACTTCTCCGAAGGCAGATGAGGGTGAGGTGAGGGAGAAAAAATCTGTCCTGATGGTGTGTTGTGAATAGGAGAAATCCACGTGACATGACACCCCCTCGTCATGGGCATTTTTCGAGGCAGAGAGATGGAACTTCTCCCGATGCGCGCTTTTCTTTTCATCTCTTCAGGGATTTGCACCTGGACTCGGATTTTTTTTTGCTGCCTCAGCGTCTCTCCCTCTCTCTCTCGCCCTCTCGTGCTGTTGGATGAATGATGGTTCATCTGAAATCGAAACCAACCACAGCACAGCTTCCTTTTGTTTCGCGCGCTCATGCCGCAGGATCTTCAACTCGTAAATTCTCTCAAGGAACGACTGGCAATGACATTCACTTCGGCGTGCATTTTTTTTCTCTCTCTCTCCTGATTCCCCGAAAAATGCCCATCGGAAACGGAGTTAGAGGTTGATTGACGAGGAAACGCGTGAGTGGGAAATTCACTGACACCCACAAACACAAACAATTCATTTTGGGAGAATTGCTCGAAGAGAGATGGAAATAACAAATTGATCAATCAACAAAACTATTTCTGGACTTTATCTCCATGGCGAGATCAGCCGTTTCATCGTGTGTGCCTCGGACCCTCGTGAAGATGATTGAGGCGGCATGAAAAAATGTAGCGCGCGGTTCTTTTGGCATTAACCACATCACAGGTTGTGTGGTGTGTGAATAATTGACGATAGGAAACGTGAACATGACTATAATGGAAATGATAACGTGAAATGGTGAGGAAATGGTGCGCGATGGACAGGGAGAGAGAGAGAGAGCTTGCCCAATTGCCTGTCTTGGAGCCCACAATTGCCATTCAACAATTAAAATGGTTGTAGAACCTTTTTTGTCGGTCCCGCCATGCAGTGGATCTCTTCTATATGGTGTTGATGGCCTCGAGTCTTCGCGCGCGAGTCCATTTCATATCTTTCACTTCACACATAAAACGTGTCAATTCTCCAGTCGAAACTGACAGTGCGGAGTTTTATAATTGATTCCGACAATTAGATGCGATGCTCTTCTTCCATTTATCGCTCATTGTTGATTGGAATTGTTATTTGCCGCGAAGACTCATCGACTCATGCACAAGAAGATCAATATCACAGCCATTTAACACTATCACTGACCATCTTTGCCTCTGCACACATACAGAGAGAGCGTGAATAGTCATAAAATTGTACTTTAGAATATTTATCATATTTATAATCCAGCAGTTTGAGCGTAAAATGTGTCTTGGGAGCAGAAATTTCCACTCGATATCCCTGAAATTTCACATTGAATGGATTCTACCCTCTTCACCATAAACACCTTTAGGGAAAATTGCATTACTTGGCTTCTTACGCTGGCGAGGTATTTTAAGTGCATGCATTTCTCCCGGTGAAATCCTCAGAAAGTACGCTCGAAGGGTTACTCCTTTGTGCAGTCCAATGGCAAAATGTTTGAAATGATTTGTGACAAAAAATGGGATTTAGCATATTGTTATTTTTATTTGCAGATTTTCCCACAACATCTCTGGAACCACCCGCAATCAGGGCTCAATTCGTGTCCTCTTGTCGTCTTTGGATATAGAGCCTGAGGTGCAAGTTTCTGACAGTAGAAAGGGTAAGTCTGTGTGAATATCGTGGGCTTAGATTGGCTCACATTCGGTAGATGGGAAGATATTGGGCGTCGAAGTGTCTGGGAATTATTTTTATGAAGAAAACGAAACTCGAATCTTCACCATCTCCTCTGGCCATCCTCCTGATCGACGTGGGCAGAGCGAGAGAGAGAGAGAGGGAGGAGAACAACATTTTTCTGTCAGCTTGCGACATCAGAGCGGAGGATGGAGGGCGAAAAAAAATTAATCACAATTCATTAAAAATGATGAAAATTCATTTTAGAGACGCTCATTCTGTGGCAAGCGAGAGATGTGGCCTCAATTATAGTGATTTTATCCACTGTTGGAGCAAGTTTGTAACTTCCTGGAATTTCTACATAACATCCTTTCCAATAATTTCCTCACCATGACAGTTTGATGTCAGTCAAGGTGCAGAGAAAAGAATCGATTTAATGTAATTGACAATAATTATGGCCACTAATTTAACACGGTAAGGTCATGGTTTTGCTCACTGGCCGCACGATGACAAGATGAGATGAGTTGGAGGAATAATATTGTGGCCTCCGCAGCCACCTGATTCACAACTTGTGTAATGTCTGACTTCGAGTGGCTACCGAAATGATAATCATTTGGCAATTAATTCAATTATCACAAGAACCAATTTGTGAGCTCATGACAAAACGATAATTGTGGGTCTCGAGCGAGGCGTTTCTTCGCCTCCCCGTTAAACGCTCTTTCTGATTGACAATTTGGACGTTGTGAGGAATTTTTCAGTGATTATGACTCTTGAGAAAAAATGACTTTTCAGAGATGTGTTGACGAGCAAAAAAATGGCTGAGCGATAGAATTCCTTACGGTTGACAGTGGGAACTTCTTAAGGAAGACACACAACCACCAATAAAAGTCCCCGACTTGCTAAAATCCCATTTTTGGTGGCAATAAATTCCTTTTATTGCCGCCCAGAGTCCAAAAACCGAAAATAGCACTACAACCCACTCTTCGCAGTCCAGATTCTATGGAGCCACGCTGAAATTCACTCTTTGCAGGATTTCTTCAGCTTCACATAAAATGCTGCAATTTCTCTACTGAAGAATTAAGCCACTGCTTAAAGGAGTGAATTTTAATAGAAAAGAAACTTTTATTATACTTTCCAGTCTTATCCATTATTAATTGATTTCTTGACGAATCTCATGGCGATGCTCGTGAAGCTGTGGAAACTTTATTGCAAAGTTAAGTGAAATATTTCATTAAACAAAGCCTTACTCAAGTTTGTCTTTTCCCGCTGAGCAAGGTGTTTAGAAGATATGTCTGTTTTCTTAGACGATAATTGTATTTTTTGAAAATTCAGATAGAAACTGACTCTAATTCTAATAATTTAAACTTAACAATTCTGCTACTTTCCTAATTTTCAATCACATGTCGCAAGGAGAGTGTCGAATCACCTTGACGTCATTCTTTAATGTCTATTTCACTGGACTTGAGTTAGATGGAGAAAAAGGGATCCGTATGAGGAAAATTTACGTTAGTGTTTCTTTTGAAATTGGAAACGTAATTCAAACAAAGTTATCCCATTTGTGTGCCCTCCAATGAGTGGCGGGATTTAGGGTACGTGAAATTGGGTGGCGAACAGGGTTGTCGGGTGGGAAATAGGGTGGCTATATGTGGAGCTTTTCTCCGTTGTCATGCACACACTCGTACATAAAATCTTCAGTGGGTGGATTTCGGAGTGGGTGGACTCTTTTCATTATGTGCTCACGATGGCAAATTCGCCGAAGAGCTGAGAGAGAGAGAGAGCGGGAGGGAGAGAGGGAGAGCGGGTGGGAAAGGCAAAAAAGACGAGAAGCTTTATGGCTGGCGACGACGACGTCATGACTGGTGTGGTTGTGCTGATGGTTGAGTATTTAGATTCATTGCGGATTGCTTCCTCTTAATGGTCAGTCCCAGAATCCTTCAGTATCCAATAAATGAATCTTTTTGATGCCATACAAGTCTTCTTCCGACGTACACACTTCTTTCGCCTCGCAGATAGCACTGTATATTGAGATAGCGAAAGCTCTTAAAAGCTTTCATTGCGATGGACATCGAAATTCATTTTGTCGAAATGTGGAGATGATTCTGCTTGTGTGGATTAAAGTGGAGAGTAAATAATTTCTTTAATTCACTTGATTAAATCCACACCCCAAAAAAATCCCGCCCCCTCAAAGATTGCTATAATGTGAAAATGGTTTGTAATTTAATGCACTGGAGATAGATGAGATTCCTTCAGTTGCCACTGCCATTAGTCTAATGAATCGGAAGTGTGTTTCGATGATTTACTTGAGAGTTTCCGACTCACCCAAAAGAGGCAGTTCATTGTGTGCCGTCATGTGAGTGTGTTTATACGCATTAGACATCGACAAATTAATGTCCTTATGAATCACGGAGGAAGAGAGGGTGATTCTTTTCTATAATTCACCATCGCTGGGCATTGTATTGAAAGTATGCAGAAATTAATGACTAGAGTTTGATGTGTGAAATTCCCTGGACAATTTTCGGATGGTTTCACATAAATTTCCACCATAAATTCGACACCTTTCCCTTCTCATTAATCGCAATGAACTCCTACAAAGTGATCCCATCCAGAGGGGATGGGATTTTATGGGAGATTTATATAAGAACTAAATAGGCGTCAATTAATCACTTCCAGTTGTGCGACGACGGTTGGAGTTTAGCGAGTGTGAGAAAGACAGCGAAAATAAGGGAGAGCGGGGCATTTTCGAGTCTCACGAAATTGCGAAAGTGTTGGAGTGAAAATTGAGCGTGGAGGCGCGAAAAGGTGTGTTGCTCATGAGTGTGGATAATAGGGTTGATTTTCATAGAGTATTTCCCGGTGATTCCGCGTGAAAGAGTCATGTTTGTCTGCTGGCGGGGGTGAATGTGTGTGTGGGGAGAGCGCCAAAACACTTAAAGTCATATGTTTTCCTCCCATTGTGCCTCAAGTGCTCTGAGAAATTTTGTACACATACACAAACTCTGCTGAGGACATGGAAGAGGAATCGCATGAGCGTTTGTCGCATGAAAAAGCTGTGCATATATATAGGGGTGTATTTGGGGTTGAAGGGAGATGGAGAGCTTTTTGGATATATACATTCCAGTCTCTCGATATGAATCAGAGGATGAATTTTGCTGCATCATCACCATCTTTCGCGCTCTCTAAATGTTCACCATCCGGTGTATTATGGCTTATGGATGGCACGACATGGGTTTCCTCAATGGGAAACTCTGTCGTTCGCCAGAGATTCACTTTTCCTCCAACTCTCCTCTCTAATCCACGTGAATGACGTGAATCTGTGAATAAACACACGCTTCAGGCACATTTGTATGGCTTTTTCTCACTTTTTTCCTCTCTCTCCCTTCGGGATTCCACAAAAGAGGATCGGGGGAAAAAGGGGTGGTGCGAGAGGACCAATTGGTCCATTATCTTGCCATTCAGCATCACTTTGCAACATTCACAATTAGATCGCGTGAATCGTCATCTTTTGACCTCCTTCTATGCACTTTCAGGACTCTGTGTCGAGGATGTGAATTGTGCAGATAAAACACTGATACAATATCGACACATTGAGAGTTTCCCGAAGAAATTTTTCTATCCATTATGTCGAGGAGGTGATTTTTTCACTATTATTCACCTATTCTTGCAGCATAAAAATACTATTTCGCGCTGCGTAAGCATTATAAGGAGGGTTTCAGTGCGTGATGACATTTCACCTGGTGTCGTTGATTTATTTGGCTCAGGTGAAAAGTGCAAAAGGATTTGTGTGACGCGCGTGGGGTGGAGGAGGAAAGGCGGAAAATATCAATTCTGTATTGAGGATTCGTGGTGAAGAATTGAGGGTGTCAAATCGACAAATCGATTTGACGATTATTGGAAATTTTTGACGGTGTGACATAGGCAGAGAAGGCGAACTGAAAGATGAAAATATTTATTCTACACAAGACGTGAATATGTGCGCGATGAAAAATTGAATGTCTTGAAGGGCTCCGAAGCATGGTGGAATTCACATGAGAGTGTCACAGAGCTCTTGTGACTCTAACGAGACCACAATCATCACTCTCTCTTGGAGACTTTTAATTAAAAGAGTGGTAAATTACTTAGATTACTCCTTAATTACACACGGGATGGATGCGATGTGGATGGAGGGTGGCAAAAGAAGGGGTTTCTAGGCGGCATCGCGCTTTTCAAGACCACACATACACATGAGGACCCAATTAGCAAATGTACCGCCCGGAGTCTACTGTGAGCAGGTGTTATGCCAGAACCAATTAAAGCTGTGACAAGAGGTGAGAACAAGCGCGCTTCAGAAGCTCCTGATTTCCTTCAAGTGCGTTTCTTTTTCCATTATTCCATTATTTTGCATTGTGAATGTCGTCGAGATGTATTTTATTGTGCGAAATCACACTTTTTGCCTCATTCGCCAACATGTGAGTACGACGAAGTAGACAAGTTGAAGGAGGGTGCAAGAGATTGTCGTGTGGTTTTATGATTTATTGCAAAATTAATTTCTTTTTCTTCGCATAATGAATTACAGCATTTTCTGTCTGAGGGTGAAAAAAATCCCAAAAGATAGCTTCATTTCAAATTACTTTTTTTTTACAGTGGTGGAAAACATTAAAAAAATGTTTATTTATAACTCATGCTGATTAAAAGCAATAATTTCAGCCAACAACAATAAATATGTGCGGTGTTGTGGATAAAATGCAGTTGAAGGGTGCAGAAAATGTGCTGCTTCGGCGTCGCTGCCACTCAAATATCCGACGTCGAAGGACCATCATTTGAGTTGTCGGTGGTGTGAGAGGATGTTTTTGGGGGTTGGTCGGACAAACAAATAAATACTCACATTCCACCCCGACATTTTGCTGTGGTGCAATGTATTTATGAAAATGTCGTGTCAAATTCACGTTTTATTATTGTTCCACCCCCTTTTTCGGCTCCCAATATATTTTCTTGCACCAAATTTATGCTGTG